ACGAACGAAAACGAAGGAACGAGAGAGAGAGAGAGAGAGAGAGACTTTTTCATTTTTATTTAATAATTTTTTCCAATTTTCAATTCCATTCCGTAATTGTTGTTATTTAACAATATTTAAAAATCTACTACTAGATAAAGAAAACTATTATGGAAAATTACAATTCTCGATAAAAAAAAAAAAAGAACATGGAAAAATAACTTATCCATTAGTACCTTATCTTTCGTATCATACTCGAATATCTTGCGTTTGATAAATATGTCCATGGCTTCGAAAATGTGTAATAAACGCAATTAGCAATAAATAACAAATCAATGGTTATTTGACTCGTATTTAATAATTTGGATGGATGGTTGAAAAATAAAAATCGTATATATACGAATTTTCGAATAAAAATATCTACGTATCTTTATATCCGTAATAATCACCATGTTTTTTATTACAATCTCGATTAATCGAGATGTTAATCAATTCGATCGGAATAAAAAAAACACATGATATAAATGATAATATTCCGAGGAATTCGTAAAGGAAAAATATCGAATATTCTTGCACTTAACGATAAGAACGATAAGTTTTAAGTTTTGGATAATCTTGTCGAAGTCGTATTTGCGTTACCATTTTTTTTTTTTTTTTCTTTCTTTAATTCTTACTATTAGAAGATATTTAAAAAGAAAAAAATGTTGCGCATATTTTTACGTTTTTAGATTCTCTAATTTTAGAAAATATTTCCATATGATAATAACGAATATAACGAATATAAAATAAAAATAGCAAGATAAAAAAATCAAAATTACCATAACACTCGATATTCGAGCTCGAATCTTGCAAATTACAAATATATACCATACTTTATAAAGCTCAAACACGTTCTTACCAATTATTTAACGGATTCGATTCGAGACTCGGAAAAAATATACACTTGAATTTATATTCTTTACGAATCGTGTTCCTTTTTTTTTTTTTTTTTTCTCCTCCAAGTTGATCAATGTATTTCAATCGATCCAATCATTCGAACGAATCGTCCGATTTCGAGCATTCTACTTTCGTTCCACAATTTTTCCTTTAATCCGACGATATCCGGACAACGCTCGTTTTACATGTATACATCTCGTGGCGGGACTGGTAAAGGCAATAAGAGAGAAGATAGGTTTTCGCGAAAAACGAGAAGAATTTCGCAGGTGTCGATCGATGCGAGTTTCAACGATCAATTGGCGAGAAATTGATCGAGATTACGTAATCAGAGACCAAAAAGGAATTGGTTGCGTAATATGCGAAGATAAAGAGTCGGAGATTTTTAGCCGAGATTCGGCGCGACAACCCGAATTGGCAATCGCGACGATTCTGCGTCGATCCGTAGAATCGAGTCAAAGATAGGAAAGAGATGTTGCTCGTGCACGGACGCGAAATAAATTATTTTTAAGTTCTCTCCGCTAAAATAAGCGCGAGCTTACGCTTATCGTTAATCGCGTATCGTATTCACGCGTTCGATTTCGAGGGAAATTTAATTGGGATCGAAGCGCGATCGAAGCTAGTTGAAGCGGTAAACGGTTCGCCTCGAACAGAATTGGATGGACGGGGCGAGAAATTGGAAAGTTATCGCGCGTGAAAATCAAAGGGGTCACCGAATCCTTCCGCCGCTCTTGAAATTCTAATATAACCGACGACGCATTAACATAAAACGGGCGTACCGATGAAAGCGGCCCACTTGAAATTCCCAACTTTTCAGAATCGATTGGTCGAAGCGCGCGTGAAAACCGAAAGCGGACGTTTCTCCCCCCTCCCCCGATGAATCGGTAAACTGCGGCCGTTCATTTGCAAGCGATCCGAATCCGCGCGATCCGTGGTCGAGTTCGAGTTGACGCGATCGCGAGAAGATGCCTCGTCTCGAACGATCTCGAAAAAAGAAAAAAAAATTGCGAAATCGTGGAAAAGAGAAATTTATTCCCCTCCGATTTTGAAGATAGATACATTCTACGAACAGCGATTTATATAAATATATAAATATAAATCTTTCGCGTTTTGCCGAGATAGATATTATCCGTCCATTTTTTTCTCGTTTTCTCTCACTCTACTTTCTCCGACAAGAAGAGAATCGAAATTATTCGGACGGAATCGCGGATCATTGTCGTCGTTACGGACAAATTCGATAAAAATAGACGAGGTCTCGATTATTGCTGCTACGCTTGGCTAATCGTAGTGATCGATAATTCGGTAATCGCGTCGTTTCCAACATTTTCAACGGATCGTTATTCCCGCATATCCGATCGAATCATCGTGGATTTACGTAAAAAACGATACGATCGATCGAGAGAGAGAGAGAGGAGAGACGGCGCGTTCCTTCGAACGTAGACGTTTCTTCTTTTTCCTTCTTTTTCCACCGCGTTACGAGTAGGAAAAATAACTTCCTTTTCCATATCGTTCTACAATATGGATCTTGGATCTCCGTTACCTTTCCACCAAATCCTGGCGCGCGAGTTCGATAAGCGGTACGCGCGACAAGGATGGAAAACGGTGAGTTTCTCTCGGAACACGTGAATCCGAGCGGCTCGTGCGTGGTTGGAAGGACGCATCCGACGCGACGCAGGCAAAAGCAATTGTGCAACCCGGCTCGAATGATCTGGCCGTCTCGACGCGACTAATAACCGCGCCACATCCTACTAATAATCGGAGGGCAGCCATCGCCAAAAGCGGCGTTCAGACACCGCGTTCGAACGTGTGCGCGTTGCACGTGATCCGATGCAATTACGCTACAACGCGTATACGCGCGGATCGTTTCACCACCGTGTCGCGTGTTCGTCGCGTGTAAATATTAATTCGGGACGATCTCTCCCTCCCGCCTTGTTTTTGTCCTCCCATTTTCTCCATCCGCGTTTCCACTTTCCCTCCCCGCACGTCCATTCCATTCTTTCGCGCCTCGATATAAAATCCGGAATGCAACGTCTATTTAAACAAAAGTCGAAAGAAAAAAAAAAATTAAGCAGCCAAGGAACGGAGGCATCCCGGACGGAAAAGAGAGAGAGAGAGAGAGAACGAGCTATAAATACCGATGTTAAACGAGAACGGATCGAGGCCTGTCGTCGTGTCGCGAGTCGTTTTCAAACTTCGCTACACGAGCCGCGCGAAATATATATATATGCGTGTACGACGACGACATGCTTTTCTTAGAAGCGCAGGGATCGTTAGGAACGTCGAGCGGGGAATAAAATTGCCAACTCTCCGTGCAAAGAACGCGGATCGTCCAACGTTTCGTCGAATCGAAATTTTTACGTATCGATTATTTATTAATGGAAATTGGCGTGTCGAGAAGAAACGGCCGCAACCACTCGTATAAATTGGAACCATATGTTGACCATATGTCAGCGATCCGAATAATTCGTCAACCACTTTTAACAGGTGCATTCCTCGAGGTAACCGTCCCCGTGTTTTTCTCTCGTTCCCACGGATTCTTCCTTCGTTCGAACGGATTCGACAGGGAAGAAATTTCGCGTTCGATTTATCTAAGACTCGTTTCTATAAGACCCGGTCGATATCGAATCCAATTTCGCCTCGTGTCGCAATCCTCGTTTTCGAGAAACGTGATTGTCATCGAACCAACGTTGCATCATCGAGTCGAGTCGATTCGATTCGACCACGCGGAAAACCTTTCTCCGCGCCGTTGCCCTAAATACCGATATCCTCGAATTTTACTCGCCTCTTTCTCGTCACAACACCTCTCGCCGTATCATCCCCTCGTCTTCCATTTGCCTGGGTGGAGATTCGAAATTTAATTCGTATCGATAATCCTTGCGAAAACTTACCCTGGAAACTTTCTTCTTCGTATAAACCTCGTCGTCCTCCGAGGCCGTAGCAAAGTTCAAGTTCCCCTCGCAATATCCACCGCCTATTCCCATCCTGTATATCTCGTCTTTGCAAGATCTCGCGTCCAAACTGAAAACAGACAAAAGTATCCGCTTATACCGACTGCTCAATTTCTCGACGCGTTACTCCGTTACAATACGATCGAAACGACCGTTTCAAAATTCCTGATCCTGATTTGAATCTCGTCCACGGTCGCGTCGGTGACGTGAATTCTTGTCAAGTTAAGCGCGTGTACACAGTTCGGTTCAACAAGGATCCGTAGAAAATAGCCGTGGAAAAACCGTTGAGCATAAATAGAAGGAAGAATGATCGTGTCGATCGATCGCGCGATCAGACGTTCTCGAGACGGGAAAACGATCGTCGCCTCTGCCTCTACGCGCTTTACGTAACGTTTTCGAGCGAACGTTTCGACGTCAATAACCCGACGCGTCCTCTGCTCCGTTATAGATTTTCCGCCGTAAATAGAGTGGACGGAAAAGGCAGCGCATTATTGATAACATTGCCACGGCAATGTCGTAAAACTTGCAGGTTTCTTCCGTTTAACCCTGCTCCTGCTTTTCCCACGAATACGAATCGAGTAGAACGGATCAAACATGTCCATCGATCTCCACTTTTCGTCGATCGATCCATTCACTTTGCTTGCGACGAAAAATTCGCGTCGACACCGGATTATTTACCACGATTTTTTTTCTTTTAAACGGAGAAACGATCCGATTCCGCCTTGGACAAACAACTACCACTACTTTCGAACGTATCGTACCAAACCTATCTGTCGCGACCAGTTAATTACTATGCGCGCATAATTAAATCTATAAGTCGCGAATAAACTCGATGCGTTCTAACTGAAGAAATACCTCGTTATATATAAATATATAAGAAATATCGTTACCAACTAATCGTGCGCAACCGTGTCGTATTAAGAATCGTGCGATTTTTATTTGCGAGCATGAATTTCTAAGAACGTTTATCTCTGCTCTAAAGTAAAAATTGAAAATGAGATAAAAGTTTATTTGCATCGTGAAGTAAATAAGTTATTTGGTTAGTAAGTGATTCGTTGGATCCAAGGCAAAATCAATTTTCATCTTTATTCTACGTTTTTTCAACGTTTCTGTGATATAAACTCGTTATTAAATTTAATTCGTCGTTATATTTTCAATCGTTCTCGAGAAAGATGAAAACGAATCCGGTAATTAATAATTCTGATGTTGCTGATGACACGCAATTTATTTGAAATCTTTGTACAAAGTACATTGAACACGATGCGCGTTTCAGACAAAGACTAGTGTCATCCTTGTTCCAACGTTGCACATAAAATTTTCTCGATGCGACACGTGCTGCATTTTTCTCGGCTTACAGCTTAAACATTGTGTGTCGAACGTGTGTGGAACAGGTAAGATTCAAGGAAAAAGGAGAGAGAGAGAAAGAAAAAAAAAAAAAAATATCCGCACTTATTCCTTCTTTTCTACGTGTTTCGATGTAAAAAATTTCACATCGAAGCAGGATTCTACACTCTAATAACTTCGATTACGTTATTATTTGTATAATCATGTAACGAAAATTTTAAAATTGAAAATTCTATCGTACATTCGAAAAAAAAGTATTAAACATTGAAAACATCGAGTTGATGGCGTGTGTTGATTGATTAATAATTTACCGATTATAATTCACCGTAATTTATAATCAACGATTTGGAAATATTTGCATTATAAATTTTTCTCAAGCAAATACTTATGAACGTTTTCAAAAATTATTAATTAAATTTTTCGCTGCGTTTCCTCTTCCAGTCCTATAAAACACGATAAATTATGAACGAAACATATTTGGTCGATAAGTTAGATATTGAAAATTTTTTTAGATCAACGCCATCTCGCGTTTGGATCACCGAAGCTCCGACTCGTTATTAGCATAGCAGAATAGGCAAGGAGGTATGCGGAGTCATAGACGAGGAAAGCACTATTGCGCGAGAAAGATAGAGAGCATCTCCCACCATCACGGGAACGATACATGGAAAATTCATTAATTACTCGTTTTCTACGCAAAATTCCGGCACTTTTAAGCTCGCATCTTAAAGCTAGAACTTCAGGCAACTTTCCTATATAAATTTTAATGCAAAATTCCTTGCCATTAATTAATTATTAACGATTAATAACGATTAACGCGTCATACGCTCTAATACATCGAAGACGCCATATTGAAAATTCATTAATTACGCGTTTTCTACGCAAAATTTCGACACTTTTAAGATCGCATCTTAAAGCCAGAACATTACACGAGTTTCTCGTATCAATTTTAATGTAAAATTCTTTGCCATTAATTAATTATTAACGATGAATAACGAATAACGCGTCGATATGTTATAACGATATATTATTACATGATGCATTAATCGTTAATAATTAATTAACGACAAAGAATTTTACATTAAAATTGATACGAGAAATTTGTTTGAAGTTCTAGCTTCAAGATGCGATCTTAAAAATATA